TTTGCAGTAGCCACCATAAACTTGTGCTGCCTCCACATGGTACCAGCAACTGCTCTGTCCCAGGAGGTGCTAAGAGTGTGATAGTAGTTCCTATGGCCAGCATACTGCTCATCCTCTTTCTAGCTGAACCTGAAGACTATAGCAGTCACATGACTCCGTGCCTTAGTTAAAGCAAGCCTGCTGAAGCCTCCATACTGAAGGTACGACCATCCACCAAAAGCTAAGAGGCTCATGAGCCACAGTGCACGGGCCCATTCCTCCACCCATCACCTGGTCCACAGCACAGCCCTCACCGTTCTCCTGGGCAAAGCGGGAGGCCTCGAGGAAAGTAACCTCACGCTCAGGATCCAGATCCTTCTTGTTGCCACAGAGGATGACCACGATGTTGGGGCTGGCCAGTGTCCGGGCATCAGTCAGCCATGCAGCTAGTGAGTTGTATGTCTCTCGGCTGTGAAGAGCAGACAGAAGAGGGAGGCAGCACAGGAGTGGGGCCATCCATGCCCAGCCTCTCCCGTGCCACCCAGACCCTGCACCCACCTGGTGATGTCGTACACCAGCAGGGCTCCAGCTGCCCCTCGGTAATAACTTCGTGTCACCGACCTGTGGGGCCAGGGGGACCCAGTCACCCCAAGGCTGGGATCTGCCCCGGGATTGCCCCCCTCTGTGGAGAGAGGCTAGTAGTTTGAGCCCCCCCCCTTTACTGTTGGCCCGTCCCCTAAAACCTGACCTTGGTCTTCCTGAGATACAGTCTATCTCCCTCATGGTCTATCTCAATTATTGTTATGATTTGGGTTTGTTCTTTTTGAAACAGTCTCATTCTCTAGTCCAAGCTGGCCTAAAACTGACTAAGCAGCCCACCTGGCTTCAATATTCAGACAACTCCCCTGCCTCAGCCACCACACCCAGTGGTGCTTGGGACAGGAGGTAAGGCCTGGGACATGGTCTACACAGAGCTACAGCTCAACCCTTTAGTTTAACTCAACATCATGCTACTTACCCAGGCTGACTCTGAATTCACCGAATCCTCAGGCAAGTCTGGAACTTTCTTAATTATTTCTTTTATGTGGGTAGGGGTGGGCTTACGTGTACCACAGTACAAGTGTGGGGGGCAGAGGACTCCTGTAGGAACTGGTTCTCCCCTGAGCTCAAGCTCGGGTCCTCAGGTGGACAGCAAGCACTCTTATCCACTGAGCTATGTCATGAACTGCAATCCTCCTGTCTAAGCCTTTCAAGGAACTGAAATTACGGGCATCTACCACCACCTCCAGCATAATTTCCCATAATTTCCTCAATTTTCTTTCTTGTCTGTCAGTCTTTCTTACTCCATCTCTCCCATGCTCACTTTTGCCTTCCCTCATCCATTCCTTCAGTGAGTCAGTCAGCATTTTCTCAGTATCGCCCATCTGCCTGTCCTGCCCAGGTGCGATGCACCGTCTACGCTCCCCTCCCTGCTGGCTGACGCAGGCCCCCTTTCCTGTGTGCCCCACTCCCTTTGTCACCAGTTTGGATCCCTGTGGAATGCATGTGCTTACTGCAAACACAGGCTATGTCACATGTCTACCTCTTTCACCCTCTCTCTGCCTCTGGGTTCTACACTCCCTCCCTCTGCTCTTTCTGTTTTGCACTCTCAGGGTTTCTGTTTCTGCAGACCTACCAGGTGCCCCAGCCTTCCCATTTTCCACACTATGCAATACACTCACCTATCCTTCTCAACTACAGCTGTCCAACCCTTCCCGAATCTCTCTGCTTCTGACCTGTTCCTTCTGTGCCCATTCCTGCCTTGATATCTCCTTCATCTTCGACTCCCTGTCTATGTCTCTCTTTCTCTCCAAGGCTGTAGCTCCTTGAGGTCTCAGTGTCTGTCTTAAGCTCCCTCTTCAAACACCACTCCTTGGGGATGGAGAGATGGCTCAGCAGTTGGTTAATAGGGCTTACTGCTCTTGCAGAGGACATAGGTTCCATACGCAGCACCCAAAGGTAGTTTACAACTACCTATAATTCCAACCCTAGGGTATCTGATACACTCTTCTGACCTCTGTGGGCTCCTGCACGTGTATAGTATATATGCATATACACATAGACAATCAACTAATTAAAAAAAAATAAAACTACTTCTTATTCACATCCTTAAGCCTTTTATTTATTTTTTCTTCTTTTTGCTCCTGGGGATAGCACCAAAGGTCTTGTACAAGCTAGGCAAGAACTCTGGAGAATTCTAGACAGGGGCTCCACCACTGAGCCACATCTCAGCCCCTCACTGGGGGATTCCAGGCATGGGCTCTACCACTGAGCCATACCTCAGTCCCTCACTGGGGGATTCCAGGCAGGGGGTCTAGGTCTGGTACTACCATAGGTCAAACTTCCCTTCTCTCTTTCCCTCTCTTCGGAAATGGTTATCAAACCCAGGGCCTTACACTGCTTGGTTAAGGGCTCTCCCTCTCAGCTACAATTCCAGCCCTTCTTTCATTGTCACATTAGCCCAGACTGGCCTCCAACTCACAGTCCTCCTGCTTCAGCCTCCTGTGTGTTTGCAATTGCAGACCTGAACCATCACATTTAGCCTTTTCCCTCCAGGACTTCTCTGCTCAGACATATGCCCCCGTCTCTCTCCGTCTGCCTGCCTACCCTCTCAGCACCTCCTTGTTCTTATTTTATCCCTGAGAGACACTTCACACCTTGCCCTTCCCTCCTCCCTCCTTGGGATCCCAGGCCACCTACCGAAAGCGCTCCTGGCCAGCAGTGTCCCAAATCTGGAGCTTCACAGTCTTCCCCCCAACGTTGACCACCCTGGATCCAAACTCCACGCCAATGGTGTGGTTGGAGTCCTGTTTGACTAGGAGTGGGAGGGAAAGAGGAGGCAGTGCAGGGGCTCCTGGAATGTCCCCATCCTGCAGGCCTCCTCCTCAGTTTCTGCAACCCAATTCTCACTGCTGGGTTGGCAGAGAACTTAGCAAAGATTGTCCACCTCGGCCAGAGGCAAAGCTACAGTACCAGCTTTACCCCAGTGGTTCCTGCTACCTACCCCGCTTACTGCCCACTGACCCACACCATGGCCACATCCACGCTTCCAGGGTCCTGCCAGAGACTCACACTTATTCTCAATGAACTGATGGAGGAGACATGATTTGCCAGTTCCAGCACTGCCAATCACCAGGAATTTGAAGAGGAAGTCTGAGCAGATGGTGCCAAGGATCAAGGATACCCACAGGGAGAGAAAGACACAGGGAATAAAAGGAAAAATAGAAAGTCAGGGGGAAGAAAAACATCAAAGCAGAAACAGCCATACATAAGGAACAGTAAAACATTACTTTTTTTTTTTAAACATCTACAGTGCTGTAGATAGAACGCAGGGCATCCTGCATACTAGGCAAGTGTTTTTCCAAACTGACCTACAACCCAGCCCAAGATGACACTATTTACTCATTACTATTGTTGTTGTTATTATTACTGATTATTGAAACAAAGTTTCACTATGTATTCCAGACCGACCTAGCTGTCCTCAACTCCAAGCAATCCTCCTGCCTCAGCCTCTAAAGGAATGCTGGGATTACAAGTCTATGCTGCCATACCCTATATTTCTTTCCTTTACTTTCTAATGAGTCAGGGACTCATTGTGTGACACTATATGGCCTTGAATTCCAATCCGCCTTCCCCAGCCCCACTCCTGGGATTACAGAATGTGCCAGCACACTCTACTTTTCTTTCTTTTAGAGTATTACTCTGTAGTTCAGGCAGACCTCTAACTTGAAGATCCTCCAGCCTCAGTCTCCCAGATGTGAGGATTATAGCACACTAGATTATCCTTACATAGTGCTTACCATATGTGTGTGTATATATGTAGATATACATATCTATACATATGCACTCAATACAGTCCTAAAGATTATGTATGTTGACAGCTCATTTAATCCCAAATAGAAAACTAAAGAGGGAAGTATACTAAGGATCCCTACTTTTCAGACTAGGAGAATGAGGCCAGAAAGATTAACCAATTTGCCCAAGGCCACACAGCTAGATTCAAATCCAGACTAAAGGTCTCCACAATGCAAGACCTTAGCTGATGCATTTCAAAAACCATTTGAACAATGTTTAAATCTGGCCTCCCTTCCTCTTCACTTCACCTCCTACAACTCTCTCATTCACTGTCAAGGCCTCTGACATTTTGGCCTATTTCCTAAACTGATTAGCTCCTCAGGGTCTTCGCACTAAATTCTTTACTGCCCTCGGACCTCCCTCCACCTACATGATACTGTCCATCCATATTGATTTCCTAACCCTGAACCTCTTCTCATCCTGTGCCCAGAACAGTTGGCCATTATTCTTAAACTTAAGCCGCATCCGGTGACGTTAAATTTTAACTCTAACTCCAGGACACCACTCCAGACCTCTCAAACCAGATCAGCCCCACAGGGTGTGCAGGGTTCACAGCATTTGTACGAGGTTCTCTCTCTACGCCATAAAGCCCGACCCTTGCCATTCACCGTCAGCCCCGCCCTATCCACTCATGCCCCGCCCAGGAAGGCTTGCTTCCCTCCTTGGACCTAACCCCCTACCCTAAATTACCATCACTAGCTCCCTCAAATCCCGCCCTAAATCTTTTTAATTCATACAGCGGTCTCCCAAGCTCCACCCAAATCGATTAAGCTCAGCCCCAGACCCACTTAGCCCGGCCCTACATCGCGGCAGACCCCGCCCCCTGAACATAAAGCCCCGCCCCACTTCCACATCCGCATCCTCTACGGGCCCAGTCCCCCCTCCCCCCGCTTCGACCCACTAGCCTCACCGTAGGTCTCGGCCATGGCTCGGTGGCGACCGCTGAGGGCCGCAATATGGCGCCGCGGCCGCGCCTGCTTCTCGGCTGGCAGCCGCTCCACTCGGGCTGCAGCCTCAGCTCCTTTCCACTCCTGGACCCGGTGCCGCCACTTCCGCCTTCACCCCCCCCACTCCCGCGCGAACCTCCAGAGCCGCGGATACCAGGCCACGCTTGCCCAACGCCGGGATTGGCGGACTCGGAAGGCAGCGGGCGGGACGGATGGCGCAGATTGGTGTCATGAAAGGGGCCGAGTCGAAAGGGGCGTAACCCAGATGAGCGATTGGCGGAGTAAGTGGGAGGGGGAGGAGGCAGAGATGCTGCACCCGGCGGAGGAACGGATTTGGTCAGGAGTCTGGGTGCAGAAACGAGACTCCGGATTGGTTAGACGTGGGTCTAGGGGTGGGGACACGAATGCCAAGAAGTGGCAAGGGCAGGATGGACAGAGTTGGAAGAGGGAATCTCAAACCGCTGGGTGCTATTTCTAATCCCACAGGCAGGAAGGAGGAAAGCTGAGAGGGCACGCACACGTTGCTCCCCATCTGCAAGAAAACCTCTGCTGGTCGGGCATGGTGGCGCATGCCTTCAACCCCACCACTAGGGAGGCAGGGGCATGTGCATATCTATGAGTTCCAGGCCAGCCTGATCTACATGTGAGTTCCAGGCCAGGGTTACACAATGAGACCCTGACTCAAACAAACAAGTCTGTTGTGCGATCTATCCAACTGGCTCATTACCAATAGTTCAACTCCTTCCCAAGGGAGGAAAGCATACATATATTGTACTGTTTAGTTTATTCCTTTGCTCAGGGCCCCAGACCTTACCCAGCTTGGAGCGAAGGGCTTACAACAGTAAAACTCTGCCTAGCAACCACTGACGTAAACACATTCAGGGCATTAATTGGCTAGATCAGAAACCCAAGAAATATTTTCTTTGCACATGTCCACCCAACCTCAAAAACCAAAGAGACAAAACAGTTTGCAGTTGGTTGTTCTATTTGTATAAAGCTGGGAAGGTAAACCGCAGGGACAACAGTAGGCTGAGCTCACTGGCAGTAGAAATCCCATTTCTGAAAGAGAAAAGGGAAAAAAAACAGTAGATAGAAAACCAGTGCAAGGACCAGGTTTGACCTCACAGAAATGAACAAATTATCTTCCAGCCCTGTAACCTCTGCATTTCCCAATTAGAAATCACTCGGCACTGAGCAGGGCCTAGTTGCACATGCCTGAAACGAAGCAGCCCTCTGGAGGCTGGAGCTGAAGGCTAGTAATTTTGAGGCCAGCCTGGGTACACACTCTGTCTCAAAACAGAAAAAAAATATATAAATGTATATTACTAACAACAACAAAAATAATTTCTTCTCATTTACAGGTGAGAAAATGAAGGAGCCCTCACCCTCCCACTCCCACCTCCACCACAAGATACTCACATCTGTCTTCATATCAATTTTGGCAGGTTTCAGAATCAGGTCCTCCCGAACAATGCTACTGGGGAAATAGCCCAGGCGGGCAGCCGCGTCTCCATAGTAATCTCCCTGAACCTGGAGAAGAACTTGTAAGTCCGTCTAGAAAAAAGGGCACTCGTGCCTGCTGAACTCCATTGCACAATCTTTCTTTCATCTGAACCTCAGCTTAATGTCATTTGCTCGCGGACAGAATGTAGCCGCCATGACTAATCCTCACAGTGGCATGTTTGCTGGCACTTTGGATGGCATACTGGTTGCCTGTCTCCACCCATTAGAAATGTAAAGGGTTGTTCACTGATATAGCTGAGATCTGGAAAAGAGCTAGGAACCAAGTTGCCCTGTAATTGCTAAAGTAAAAACGCAATGGGTGATAAAATATCCTTACCCCCCAAATCTGTGGTTCCCCCCTCACCAAAATTTTCCCTTCAAAAGGGAAAATAGGGTACTCCACACCCTTCCTTCCCTCTAACTCTGAAGACTCACACTGCCTCCCCAGAAGAGCCGTCCACGGCCCTTCAGCTTGGAGAAGACATACACCACTTGGCCCCTGTACACGTTCAAGAAGCGGCAATCAGGGGCCATGTAGTCCTGAAGGGCCACAGCCATGGAGATAGGATCTGGAGGAGACGGGAATGACAACAACATCAACACAGACCAACAGTCCAAGCCCTCAGCCCCTTGCCCTTCTTCCCTGACTCTTACGGCTGCATTCCTCATCCGCACACAGCTTCCACTCGGCCAGCTTGGGCATGTCACGATCAGCCCCACTGGGCCCTGGGAAAACAGACAAGAAGATGGCACCAAGGAGTACTGGGGACCGCACCATCGTGGACTTGAGAATGACCAAGTGAGGAATGGGATCTCCAGTCTCCTGCCCTCCCTCAGTGCTGAGCCACAAGTAAAGCTGTGTTCTCAATCCTGTCTCCGCCCCAGACCAAATTACATCCCCCACTCACTCCCCCAAGGTTGTTATTCAGCCGGAACCATTTCAGAGACAGGGTAAGGGCTATGGGCCAAATAAAATGCCCCCTGGAGCCCAAAGCAACCCAGACCACTCCAAATAGCAGCTACCCCCTCAATAATCAGAGACCTGGATAGGTAGGCTGAACTAATCTGATTCCTTCTTCAAGTCATTTGAGGCACCCGGACCCTCCAGAGACCAAATTAGAGAGGCCAGCATAGAAAACCACCTTGGAATTTCCTGTGCTGAGAACAAGGCAGTTCTTTGATTAGCAGCCACAGCCACAGTTCCCAGGTACTGAGCAAACACTCAAATGTCCGGTCTCAGGATAGGACTTTCCCACCTGGCTTACTGTGCATCTTCACAGGCTTCTCCCTCCTTGGAAGGCCTGAGCTAAGCTATGTTAGCCTCGGAACCTCAACTCCCTCATCTGCAAAGACAGCAATGAAAGCAAAGGACATCTATCAAGTGTTATTTGTTTTGTTTTGGTGTGTGAATGTTTTGTTACATGTATGTCTGTGTTCTGCATGTGTGCTTGGTACCCTTGAAGGTTTTGGAACCGGAGCTACAGACAGTGACAGTTGTGAGCCCCACAATTAAACCTGAGTCTGGAAGAACAGCCAGTGCTCTGCTCTTAACTGCTGAGCCATCATTCCAGCCCCCCTCCCCATTTTTTAAATATTCATTGGTGTTTTGCCTGCATGTATGTCTCTGTGAGGCTGTCAGTTACAGTTGTTAGCTGCCATGTGGGTGCTGGGAATTGAACCCACGTCCTCTGGAAGAGCAGTCAGTACTATTAACTGCAGAGCCATTTCTCCAGCCCCCAGTCCACCCTTTTTTAGAAACAGGGTTCTACTACATAGTCTTGGCTGTCCTGGGACTATGTAGACCAGGTTGGCCTCAAAGTCACGAGAGATCCACCTGCCTCTGCCTTCCCAGTGATGGGTAAGGCATTAACCACCATGCAGGGTGAGAATCAAGTTCATGAAGTAATTGTTATAAAGTCAAGGAACATGTGTCCAAAGTAACTGAACCAGGAAAGGGGCCAAGATTTGTCTCAAGGTTTCCAAGTATCATTGTTATCTGGCCTAAGGAATAGGTCATCAACAGATAAGCAGGGAACAGAGGCCCAAAAACTGTTTAGGGACCTCATAAAGATGTTATATGGCTTAGTGGCTGTGGCAGTTTGAATGAGAACGGTGCCTACATGCTAATACAGTTGAGTGGTTCTCAGTTGTTGGAGGATGTCACTAGGGGTGGACTTTGAGGTTTCAAAAACCTAAGCAAGACCCAGATCTCTGCCTCCATCTGACAGATGAGATGTAAGCTTCAGCACCATGCTGGCCTATTGCCATGATAGCCACCATAATGGCCATGAACTAATCCTCCCAAACTGTAAACAATCCCCCAAGTAATGTTTTCTTTTTAAATTACTTTGGACCTGGTGTCTCTTACAATAGAATAGTAACTAAAATATGGTTGAATGTCTGCTAGTCTTGTGTTTAATCCTCAACACAAAAATAATGTATGCTAATTTACCATTTATACAAGGGGCCTGGGATGGAGCGTGCCAAGCCTTCACAAAGCCCCTGGGTTCAACGTTCAACAAAAAATACAACCGGTAAGATCAGTGTGAATTATGAGCTTAGGTTATGGAGATTTACTTAAAAGCTTTGGTCACAGCTGGTATAAGAAAAGCTGGTAGCAAAGAAACATGAGATAGCATGTTGTCTTCATGTTTGAATTTCTAATTTAAAACGTGAAAGTTTCTGTGTGCAGTAGCTATCTCAATGTAAACACTGCACTAGCTTCAAATCTTAGCACCATGAAGACTCATCAGGGAATGAAAAGCTGAAGGCCTCTGGGAGACAATTATCCAATAAAGAAATAGGAGGCTGCGGATGAGGCTTGGTTGGCAGGACTTGGCCTGGTACTGGGCCCTGAGGTCCACCCACAGATCCGAATAACCTGGGCAGTGAGGTAAGAGGACAGATCATCCTACTATATGGTGACTTCTAAGTCAACAAACTGCCTCAAAATTTCAGTGGTTAGGAGTGCTTACTGCCCTTGCAAAGGACCCAGATTCAGTTCCTAACACCACATGGTGGCTCACAACCATCCATAAGTCCTGTTCTACGTGATCTGACGCCCTCTTCTGACCTGTGAGCACCAAGCCTGTAGGTGCTGCCTATACATATATGAAGGCAAAACATTCATGCACATAAAAGAAAAATAAACCTAAAATTAAAAAAAAAATTCTGATATAGGATACTTTAGTCCCAGTACTCAGGAGGCAGATCTCTGTGAGTTTAGACCAGCCTGAACTTCAGAGCTAGTTTCAGGACAGCCACGGCTACACAGACCCTGCCTCAAAAAAAAAAAAAATAGGTACAAAGGAAGTATATGTGTGTGTGTGTGTGTGTGTAGCATGTTTAATAAAAACTCAGAGACCGATATTGGGGTTTCAACCTGAAAATCAGAAAAGCAGAGCACTCAGCCACTGGCTCTAATCTCTACCTCAGTCCAAAAATGGTGACCCTGCCTCCAGGAAACCGCAGAAATGAGACTGAGTCTGAGAGCTGTCTCTTCCTGTCTTATAATCCTCTCGAGGGCTGGGATTAAAGACGTGCACCACCACCGCCCAGCTAGAAGTATTTTTTAAACTTTAAAATACAAGTTATTTTGAATACTGCAATGAAATCCCACCCAGTTCCATTTCAGCACGTCAAGGATGGGAATCAAATTTTTCCCCTCCTCCCCGGGAATCAAATTTTTGTCCAGTGTATGCACATTGTACATGTTATCATCATTCACGGAAGTAGACCACGGCTATGTTCAACTGCCTGTGACTAAGTCATCCTTACTGTACTTCATAGTGGACTCAAAGCCCAGAAGCAGAGATGTTGCCAAGTGTGCTGACACAGACCTATAATTCCAGCATTTGGGGGTCTGGGCAGGAGGATTGTGAATTTGAAATCGATCTGGAATGTACACAGCAAAAACAAGCAAACATTTTATTTTTAAACTTTTATTTATGTATATTGGGGGTGCGTGTGAGTGTAATTGCCTATGGAGACTGTAAGAGGGCATCAGATCCCCTGGGGCTGGAGTTACAGACAATTATGAACCAAAGAGGGTGTTGGGACCAAACCTGGGTCCCTGAAAGAGCAAATGATCTTCACTGCTGAGTCATCTCTCCACTACCACCCCAGGGGAAGGGGGACATTAGTCAAAAAGTTTCAGGCTTTCTGCAAGAGATGAGGTAAAAGGTTTCCATAAAAGAAGGCCAGGTAATGGTAGTGCATGCCTTTAATCCCAGACACAGGAGGCAGACATGTGGATCTCTGTGAGTTCAAGGCCAGCCAGGCCTGTTATACAGAGAAACCCTGTCTTGAAAAACCAAAACAATGTATGGAAATAACAGATTCTGTGAAATTGTGAAAAAAAAAGTTGCTAGTTTTACCATCACCCCTCACACTGCCAAAGTTACAGCTGTTACATGTGACCAATGCTTAGTTGACATGAAATAGAAGAGGCCAGTATGATGGGAGATGCTTATCAACACTGGGAAGGTGCAGGCAAAGGGGTCAGCTCAGGCTAGGTGGGTGGCCTGAGACCCCACTCCAGCCCCATCTTAAAAAATGAAAAGATGGGGCTGGAGAGATGGCTCAGAGGTTAAGAGCACTCACTGCACTTCCAGAGGTCCTAAGTTCAATTCCAAGTACCTACATGGTGGCTCACAACCATCTCTAATGGGATCTGATTCCCTCTTCCGATGGGCATGAAGACAGGTCACTCACATACATAAAGTAAGTAAATATAAAAAAAGTCAAGATGGAAAAAAGTACTGCAGCATTCTGAACCCAGGATTCAGTTAGACAGGGATTTTGTTTCTAAAGCAGGTCACCGGTTCAAAACCACAGGGGATTTAAAAAGCACAAACACCAGAGCCATGTTCAAGGACCCGGGCTAACCACACACAAAGTTCATATGGGACCCATGTGACCAAGGCAGCTTCTACTGCTCACCCTGACGGCTACTCCAGTGGCCGGGGCGCTTGGTCCAAGACCACCTTAGCTTCGGGCCGTACTGGCCACTCTACACTGCTGTGCTTTGACTTTCATTTTCTGCCTTGCAGAAGAGAAAACTGGCCCCCAAGTTCAGTCACTTGTCAAGATAACAGCAGTGACTCAGGGCACCCTGACCTCTGAGCCTGCCAGGCACCTCGTGGCAGGCAAAGAATGGGAGGTTATCACGGGGTGGAGAACGAAACACTTCTACAAACCCAGCACTAACAGCTCCACCCTAGGACACCTCCTCAAGGAACTTTTCCCTGACCAGCCTAACTGTTCCCAGCTCTACAGCCCCACCACAATAGCTCAGGCTGCCAGGGAACTCAGGGCAATTCCCCTGCCTCAGTCTTCTGGGTACTAGGACCACAGGCCTGCCTATCAGCTTTAATTTTCACTCCAAAGTTTTATTCAGCATCTACTAGTACTCAGCAAGTATATAAGGAATCTGCTGATTGCTGGCACGGTGCCTGGTGGTGTTCGTGGGAACAAACATGATCATCATTATGGCGGGAACAAGAGTTCTCACACAGGAAGAAAACCTCACAGTGGGGGACACTTAACTGCCCACTGAGTGACAGCTAGGGAGGCCCCAAACTACTACAAAGCAGATGGGCTAACCACAGAACTCACATGTCCCAGTCATTAGGCCAATGTGGAGAGAGATGTCTCCACTTGCCTGTCTGCAACAATATGGGAGTCCCTTAGTGATGCAAGCAGCAGCTCTGTCCTGCTCCTTCAAATGCCATGGGGAGAGTCTTCAGTGAGCCATTCCTCTGTAATAGCCAGAAGCCA